ATTTGCAAAACAGGAAAACAAAATTAAACAGTCCCTGGAGAAGATAGTCCTACATTGGAGCTATTGTTTGTCAACAGGCAGTGTGTTTGTAATCTATTTATGGTCCTTCAAATAAACACCATTAGCACTTTTTGTGCACTTTGCATCTGCCCTTGGTCTATATCACTGTTCAGCAACAGAAGGAGCCGAATGCTGTACACAGATAGCCTGTTTAATTTACAACTTACTTTTTGGTACTGCAGTAACCCTACCTCTTTCTTTATATGGCCAAGATTCCTTTTAAGGTAGAATATTATGAAATTAAGTAAATTGTTTAAGGGTAGTAAAACACTGATATTTTTTTATGCACATTAAAACATCATTAAGAATGCACAAAATAATAGTAATATTATAAGAAGTGCCAAGTGTGGGAAACAAATGAGAGAATTTCATGTATTTCTGTCCCTCAAGCTCAAAAAATAATTGAAAACGAGTCCTAGAATTTCAATGACAATTTAAAAACATTGGTTCTTTGTGCCAAAAAAATAAAGAATGTCTACTCCCTCCAGCCAAACAAAAAATGGAATAGAATGTAATGGTTTAAAGTTGCTTTTTTTTTCAAAAAAAAAAAAAAAAAGAAGAAACATTGTATTCACTAAACAAGGATATGTGGAGTAGTGACTAACGAATTGCAAAATTATTGCTAAAAGAGGTGAATTTAGCTAAATTGGCCTGAAATTTGCAGTTTACTTACATTTTCATCACAATTCCCAGTTTAAAGAGACACTATAGGCACCCAGACCACTTCAGCTCATTGAAGTGGTCTTGGCGCAGTGTCCCTGTCCCCTTAACACTGCAGTGGTAATTATTGCAGTCTCTGAGAAACTGCAATAATTACCTTGCAGGGTTAAGACTGCCACTAGAGGCACTTCCTGGTGGTTAGGTGACTTTTAAACATCCAGCGTCAGTAACTTCCACAGAGGAAAGCATTGCAGCAATTGGGAGGGTCTAATGTGTTTGCGGCAGTCGCCACGCATGCGCATTTGTGCCCCAGACAGGTGACTTCAGAGGGGGCAGAGCGTAGACCCAGGGACATTGGCACTTGAAAGTACTGTTAGGGTACTTTAACCCCTACTATGCCCGAGGGGGGGAGGGGCGTGAGAGAGGTGGAGGCATGAGGAAGCTATAGTGCTATAGCACTATAATATCCCTTTAATGAATTCAAAACATCCTCCTGTCTAATTACTTAAAGGGATAATTTACTAAATATTGAACTGAAAACTGAATTTGCAATATTCACTGTATAGTGGGGGAATTCCCAGTGAATTTAAAATTTTAGACCAAAAACTTAAACTTAAAATATAGGTACGTTGGAGACTTCCTCCAGTTCAGCTATTTTGGAGTAAAATGTGAAAATTCGTTTAGAATTCTCTTTGAATTCCAGGTCAGTCATGCTTTAATGAATAGTTGTGTTCATTAGTAAAGGAATACAAACATGTATTCCTAACACTATAATGTTAACCTACCTAGCTAGGTGTCTGCCTACCCAAGAGGGCTTAAAAGGTAGGTTTAATTTACATGCACTCCCTCACTGTGCTGGTATCACCACGGCCTCCCCACACCCCTGGCTGAAATCATCAAGCCTGATGATCTCAGCCAATCCAATGCTTCCCCATTGGAAAGCATTGGGAGTGCGCATGCGCACTAAGTCTATGAGCAGACTTTGTCAGGAAGACAGCCACAAGAGACTATTTTCCTAACAAATTCCGTGCAAACATGAATCATCTACTGAACTACAATTTTTAAGATTATAGTATTAAAACTAAAGGGTCATTGCACCTAGACCACTTCATTGCAATAAAGTGGTTAAGGTGCCTTTACTGGTCCTTTAAACTGGCTCTTCCACCATCGGAGGACTTTGCCGAATTCGCAAAGACCCCCGATGAGGACATCGTCACTGGGGGTCCGATGGCCAGGGTGGGGGAGATAAGGTGAGATTTACTTTCCTGAACCTGTCCCTAGCAGGCGCCACCATCATGTTTGGTCTGCTCCTCTTCAACGCCAGGAGCCGACGTCACTGCTCTCCTCTTGTGCATGCATTGAGGTCTGTGGAGGATCCCGCAAGAGGGAAAAATCCTCCATAGACACAGCAAATTCCCTGCAGCCATCACTCGTGACAGCTCTCGGCATTGACTCTTGGACTCTGCCCTGAGTATAAGAAAGTCAAGCAGAGGAGAAATACAATAGTCTCAAGCTTAGCTGTTATAATTTACCAAATTTTGTTTCCACTCCAAGGCAGTTCATGGTTTACTATACGACCCATTAGAAATATTTCTCCCAATAAATAAATAAATAATAAATTCTTATTATTAAAAAATATTGATATATCAATGTGGGCTAATTTACCATTGTAGATGTTTTTAAACTACATATGATCAGCCAATGGGCATTATGGGAAATTCAACCGCATGATTAGTGAACCCAAACTCATTCATCTCTGGTATGTGGTCCTGTGTGTTTATGTATTTAGGCCATGCTTCGCCCATGCAATCATTTCAGACAAACCAAAATTGACGAGATAAAAAAACACAAAAATAACAAAATCAACATTTAGAGTCTGTCCCTAAGCCATCAATCATATTTTTTTTTTTTTTGGCGGGACAAACACATTGCTTGCTTTGTGATTTATCTATATGTTGTTTTAGGGGTTTGTAAATTCGAACAAGTCGTCTGTTGTCCCAAATTTGTAGAAATGGATATTTGGGAGAAGTCAAAAGCACAAGTTTACCCACTAACATACAAAAGACGCCGGTAGTTTTCAACCCAAACCACCGAGTCACATAAGTCAACACTCTCTTGAAAGACACCGATCAATCACAGTATGAACACAGAGACTGCACAAATATTACCTTAAGGGAGTCACACATATATAGTGTGACGGTACAATCCTTTACTCCGTCAAGCATTCCCTTCTTCCCCTAAAATAAAATCGCCAAGTAATCCACAGAGTAATAAATTGCTGGTATCACCGAATAATCCACACATGAGCCAAAGCTTAATGCTGGAACCAGTCTGATTTACTGAGAAACAGGGCACACAATTTATACAGTACATAACTCCTCCTCTGGGCCAGGCTAGATAATTGGGTTTGAGCACTTATCAAACTCAATTATCTAGTGGCCAGAAAAGTTAAAATTTTTCACAATTATTAGAAACATACTTTATACATAACATATCAACAAATATCCCTGGGTAGCTGAGGGTGATGTGAGCAACATATCCAAATTTCGTGAGAATCCATTCGGTAGTTTTGGAGTCATACCGTGTGGAAGTTTGACCTGCTCGCCATGAGGTTGTAGCCGACTCAGTTCCATGAAATCAGTGGTGCGAGCCGGTCTCCGTTTGGATGAAAATTGCATGAAAACCCCCATAGATATAAGGTAGCTGGTTACATGAGAGTGCTCCCCTCGTTCCGTATATTGAAACTCCCGAACGCCATTCGTGTGCAATTAGTGTAAATGGGTCAGACAGGACTTCCATGCCGAAATTAGTTCCAGGCGCTCAACGCCTAAGTCCCGCAGGCCGGCCGTTCGGGAGTTTAAGATGGCCGCTATCCATTGTTCTCGCCACGTGTTCGTGTCCCGAAATGGTGGCCACCCAGGAGCACTCAATTAGCTTGTGGGTTAACACAGAATTCTACATTATAATTGCTACCCAGGGTGTTCCTCGTTCGGTAAAATAGCAATTTTACTGAACAAGGGATTTTGACGAATAGAAAGAAACGAATGAACTAGTAATAAAGGTAATAAATCCAACGAACAAAGTAGCAGGGAGGGAAAGTACCGAATGCATGGAGGGTGATTCTTCACATATAGTATATCAGAGGTGGCCATAGAGCAGATCCCCAAATGTTTTTGAAGGCTGCCAAACCATCATTATTATTATTATTATTATTATTATTATGATATTTATAGAGCGCCGTCAAATTCCACAGTGCTTTACAATGGGTGGACGAATAGACATGTAGTTATAACCAGACAAGTTGGACACACAGGAACAGAGGGGTTGAGGGCCCTGCTCAATGAGCTTACATGCTAGAGGGAGTGGGGTAAAATGACACAAAAAGGTAAGGATAGTATTAGACTAGTGACAGTCGCAGAAGAGGAATCAGTCAGGAGCTATTAACAGTTACGCTTTTATGAAGAAGTGGGTTTTTAACGATTTTTTGAAGGAGTGGAGTCTGGGTGAGCATCTAACGGAGGAGGGATGCGAGTTCCACAGGAACAGTGCAGCCCTCGAGAAATCTTGAAGGCGAGCATCAGAGGTGGGAGTACGGACAAAAGATAGACGTAAGTCTTCAGCAGATCGTAAGGGCCTAGATGGGACATACTTGTGTATAAGGGAGGATAGATAGGTGGGAGCAGCATTATGTAGAGATTTGAAGGCAAGAACCAGAATTTTAAATTGAGCTCTATATTTTATAGGAAGCCAATGTAGGGACTGACAGAAGGGTGAGGCATGGGAGGTGCGGGAAGACAGGAAGATGAGCCTCGCCTCCGCATTCATTATGGACTGTAACGGCGCTAGTTGGGAGCACGTGAGACCACTGAGATTACAGTAGTCAAGGCGAGAAAGGACAGTGGAATGGACCAACACCTTAGTCGCATCTGGCGTTAAGTAGGGGCGGATGCGCGCAATATTTTTGAGATGGAAATGACAGGATTTGGCGATAGATTGAACATGAGGCTTGAAGGAGAGGTCGGAGTCAAAGAGAACACCTAGCCAGCGAGCCTGCGTGATGGAGCTGATGGATGATGTCTATCTGTTGGATATCTCCGATTCCCTGATGTGGACTGTTTATATTTAAGAATTCTGTTTATCTTATCACTTTCAAATTGTAGGGTCAGCTGTATCAAAACACAAGTTAATTACTCACTAGCTGCCTGAACTGTATTGTACATTAATTAATTTTCTACTGCTTACAATTTTTGCGCAGGAACTTTCTTGTGGCTGGATTCTACTGAATATAAGACACGGCCAGTACAAGATCATAGCAGGATTAAGGGATTAGCAGGGACCCTGGAGTCATGATTTGGCTTGGCCCATTCACCAACCCTAATGTGAAGTGGTCCCCCAAACCAGCAAAGTGCTTAGAGCCCTGTAGGAACTTATCCCTTCTCCGTACATGGATCAGAGGCTGGTAAGTATGTACCGGTATATATATTTCTGCTGTATGTGCTAGGCCTATCCCAAACACTGGCTGCCTTATCTTGGGGTAGCATGTAACTAATTTCTTCCTGGTGATATTTTTATTCTCATACAGACATCCGGAGTTTAAATTGTATTCAACACATTTTCTAAACAACGTGTTGAATAGATTCCTCTGCCAGAGTAATATTCTGCAAGCAGAAGGTTCCATGCTCACACCTTCCAATCGATATGGGGAGCTATATACAGCACAGGAATCTCTGAGTGGGGAAACCTGCACCTATCCACACCATTACTATGTCTTTAAATGTTTTCCTGATTAAAATATGCACTTTACACACCATAACCACTACAGCCTGCTGTGTCAGATGGCACATTCAGTCAATAATTGTCATCTAAATTCGGATCCAACTGATATCTGCCCACACGTGTAATTTCCACAACAGCAATGTGTTGAGTGATGGGTCAGGCCTAAGGGTGCCCAGTGAAACCTCAGCTCGAAAATGGTTTGACAAAAATAGCAGGAGATGGTGTCAGGGGCCTGCTGGTGATGAGTCTGGTTGAGTGCCATGGCCCTCTTGGGACGCTTTACATTATCTGGCTGAAGAGATAGCAGAAGCATCGCCATCATTAGCACTTTGAATGTCTAGATATTTTTTTTCAGTATAAATGAGGCGTTTGAGCTGCGTTTATTGTAGACTTTACCTGGGTGTCCGTAGAAGCCAAACACCAGTGAACATCAGGAAAATGGAGGGCGTGTGCAGATATAGACAACACCTTCTCTTTCTCATAAAAAAATATATGAAACCTACCTACCCCATTCCTTTATTAATAACAACAACCAAGAAGTGTGTGAGTTGGGTGGAGAGGGGGGAAAGCATGACTAACTGAAAAAAAATTGAAAAATAAGCTCAGCGCACAGTTTAACTTTTTATTACCCCCTTGATGGCAGGTTAGGCCTTGATTTACTTTTGTTCGATAAGCTTTTCACCTGAATTAAAGGGACACTATAGGCACCCAGACCACTTCATCTCATTGACTGACCGGTCTGTTTAATCCTGCAATGTAAACGTTGCACTTTAAGAAAAACTACAATGATTACATTGCTGGTTTAAGTGGCTATATTCCCTAATGGAGTCTTACTCCGTGACACAACGTTGGACCTCCTCACGCTATGTATGATGAAATCTAATGTCTTCAAATTCCCTACAAAAAAGCATGATTGGGGAGGCATTACGGCACACGTGATGCAAGCGGCATATGTACATTAGGTTCCACCATTGCTGTGATGTCGCAGGAGGAGGAGACCGAGCCAGAGGTAAGAGAGAGAAGGATTTTAAACCCTTAAATTACCAGACATTGGGTTGGAGCGGCTATTAAGTTAGGGACATGGACACTACAGCAGCTTTGTATTTCTAACATTATAGTTCTCTTTCAATATTTTTAGATAAACCTTTTGAACTACAGTATATACTCGAGTATAAGTCTAGTTTTTCAGCACATTTTTTGTGCTTAAAAACCCCCACTCGACTTATACTCGAGTCACTGTCTGTATTATGGCAACTTAGAGAGCCGCGGCCGTCAGAGCCATGGCAACGATCCGCGCGGCAACCAGACCGCGAGACTTACAGCGGAGCTGACCGGAACGGAGGAGAAGGGAGCTGACAGGAGCTGCAGGAAAGGTAAGTAAATGCTTCCTGCCGGCCCCCCCACTTCACAGCCCATGCCACTGGACCACCAGGGATTAAGATAGCCCTCCTCCCTGACCAGTTAACAAGCAGGGAGGGGGGACAAAATAAAATTAAAATAATTAAAAAAAAAATAATATTAAAATTAAAAAAAATTTAAAATAATAAAAATGCCCTCCCCCCACCCAGTTCACACACACTACACAAACACACACTCTCCATTATATACACAGTGTGTGTATATAATGCAGAGTGTGTGTTTGTATGAGTGTGTGTTTGTATGAGTGTGTGTTTGTATGAGTGTGTGTGTGTGTGTGTGTATATAATGCAGAGTGTGTGTATATATAATGCAGAGTGTGTGTTTTTTATGAGTGTGTGTGTATATAATTATAAAAATCACAGAATTTCATAGCCCCAAGTTTTACCCTCGACTTATCCACGAGGCATAGCATATTTCACAATTGTTGGTCACAAAACTGCACTCGACTTATACATGAGATCGACTTATACACGAGTATATACGGTAGTTTAATATTATGAAAAATATTTTGATATATTATATAGTATTTTTTTTTCATATTTTAATATTATGAAATATTAATTTTAAAAGTTTATCCAAAAATATAAAATAATTTGAAAATATTATCCAACAATATTAAATTGAGGCTTTAAAGGAAGGTTATAGCATTAAGAATATAAATGTGTATTCCTAGCACAATAGTGTCCTATTCACCATTTAGGCAACCCCCACCCCGCTAGGATATAAACTATGTTTACTCACCTCCTCACTAACCTCGCTGCTCTCTACGTGGCTGGCCCTAACTTCTTGGCTTAGATCACCAAAGCATTGAGAGGCTAGTTCACATGCGCCGCAAAACACTGGGCCAATCAGATGGTGTCTATGACCTCATTAAAATAGAGTTTTACTCAGCTATTTCTGCGAAAGCGCCTCTAGTGGCTGTCAGAGGCATTACTGACACTAGAAGCAATTACAACCTGTTATGAACAAGTTGTTTCTGCAGAACGGCAATGCTTTAACTTGCAGGATCAAAACTAGAGGGACATGGCACCCACAACACTTCATGAGATAAGTTGTCTGGCCGCCTATAGAGTCCCTTTTTTCTTAAAGGGACACTATTGTCACCTGAACAACTTTAGCTTAATGAAGCAGTTTTGGTGTATAGAACATGCCCCTGCAGCCTCACTGCTCAATCCTCTGCCATTTAGGAGTTAAATCCCTTTGTTTATGAACCCTAGTCACACCTCCCTGCATGTGACTTGCACAGACTTCCATAAACACTTCCTGTAAAGAGAGTCCTAGTTAGGCTTTCTTTATTGCAAGTTCTGTTTAATTAAGATTTTCTTATCCCCTTCTATGTTAATAGCTAGCTATACCCTGCAAGAGCCTCCTGTATGTGATTAAAGTTCAATTTAGAGATTGAGATACAATTATTTAAGGTAAATTACATCTGTTTGAAAGTGAAACCAGTTTTTTTTTTTCATGCAGGCTGTGTCAGTCATAGCCAGGGGAGGTGTGGCTAGGGCTGCATAAACAAAAACAAAGTGATTTAACTCCTAAATGGCAGTGAATTGAGCAGTGAAATTGCAGGGGAATGATCTATACACTAAAACTGCTTTATTTAGCTAAAGTAATTTAGGTGACTATAGTGTTCCTTTAACGTTGATCTGTTAGCTTTAAAATTGTATGAGAATGCCTCTACTGGCAAATCTTTGAAGTGCAGGTCTTGCTGGGTTACACCATTAAAACCCTTGTCTATCTATTGCCGTTGGTCCTACTTAGCAAGTGTTACATAACGTACAGTAGAGCCATTATCTTTAGAGAAAGTATTTTTTTACCATCCTTTTGACATCAGTCAGTTTGTCACGATAAAAAAAAAAATGATAATAAATAAAATTAAAAAATTACTCTTTAGCAGTCTCTAGCTTCTAGTGAAATGTGATAGCCAGACCTAAAAATCCACTTTTACTCTTTTAACCCCTTAAGGACACATGACATGTGCGACATGTCATGCTTCCCTTTTATTCCAGAAGTTTGGTCCTTAAGGGGTTAAATAAGTGCTACTAACGAACGTCATTTATCAGCATCAGATGAGTTTCCAGGGAAAGCGAATATTTTCCAATAGAAAACGGTATTTAGCATTAGTCCTTAAAGCTTGCATGTCCCATATAATTGGCCGAGATTAGGTTACATGCAGTATAATCACATTATGGAGCATTACATGAAACATATCGTTAGGAAGCAGGCCTTAATTATCTCCTGGCAAAGAAATTACAGTCATTTTTCTATCCATAAAACAGTTACGTTATATTAATCGAGGATTTTAGAATTTCCTATTAAATAACGACACTAAAAGTTTTATGTATCACAAAAAAAGGTAAAATTTTGTGTACCACGGCAATAATTTGACTTTTTAATATGTGCTTCTTTATGATGGATTTGTTTTATGAGCCAATATAATGGGATTTATATTATGCGGGGCCTGTTCCATTGGTTAAATTAGTTCCTTATTGCAACAGAACCGTTCAATGCAATAAATGCTGCAGGCATAGCCACTGTGATATCAGTGCAAATCTAACTGGAATCTCTATCGCTGTGTTTGGACTTTCCGTTTTTCTTAGTTTATATCTATTTATATTTTCCTGGGCTCCTTTTGGTACATGTCCCTTGGTACTGGCAAATATAAAATATTTCTGATCATTTACATCAGAAGAATTCTGTTACGCTGCCTTAAAAAAAGACTTTTGGGATGGGTTTACTCAACATATTTTATACATTACATTTTATTTTTAGATATTGTATACATTACATAGTTAATGATTTAATCCCTTAAGGATCTATGACAGTTTATGTCGTCAAAACTCTCAGAGTTATTCACTAAACTACATAATTTTTAAAAATTAACTCAGAATGGAAAAAATTTGTTTGAATGGAAAAAATGTAAAGATTTTTTCCCGAACAGTTATTTTTGCCTCAGGTTTTCCATTCGGATTTAGTTTCGGAAAATTCTGTGTTTAGTGAATAACCAATCCACAATAGAATGCCCCACTTAAATTTCATGTTGACATATTTTTGGAGCTGGACTGGGATACATTGTAGTCAAACCATTAACCAGAAGTATGGAGGCATCTGAGGGTGTGTGCTCCACCACATGTGCGCACACATTAACAGCAATTATAAACACAAAAACACAAATCGTTTGCAACATTCAGAAACACAGAGAAACACTGTTCAAATTAGATTTGTTTGGCAAGCAGTAACAACCACTTCAAAAGAACTCTGGGGGGGAGGGGAGGCAGTATAAAAACTGTTACCCAGTACCCATCATAAATAGTTTTTAGCATTATTTGCAATGAAAGCTTGCTTGCATTATATACTGTGTACCCAAGTCTTGTTTTCCACAATGTATATAAATAAGGAAATCCTTATTTTAGTACATTTCCTGGTATACCCAGTGGTGTATCCTGGGTTTGTGCAAACACACACACACACACACAGTCAGACACAAACACACACACACACACACTCACAGACACACACACAGTCAGACACAAACACACACAGTCAGACACACACAAACACACACAGACACAAACACACACGCAGTCAGACACACACAAACACACACACAGTCAGACACACACAAACACACACACACAGTCAGACACACACGGTCAGACACACACACAGTCAGACACACACACACACACACACACAGTCAGACACACACACACACACAGTCACACACACACAGTCAGACACAGACACAAACACACACAGTCAGACACAAACACACACACACACAGACACACACACAGTCAGACACAAACACACACACAAACACACACAGTCAGACACACACACACAGTCATACACACACACACACATTAACACTTTTTTTTTATCCCCCCCCCAGCCTCCTTACCTTTGGGAATGCTGGGGGGCGGGGGGTTCTCTTTATCCCTGGGGTGCAGTGGCTGCCGGTCGGGCTTATGGGCGGGCGGCACTGGCGAGGGAGCACTTCCTCTGAGCTGTCTGCTCAGCTCCCTCGCGCGCCGCAGAGTGTGGCTGAGAGCCGGGTTGATGACGTCATATTCCGGCTCCCAGCCTCACTCTGTGGCGCGCGAGGGAGCTGAGCAAAGTGCTCCCTCTCCAGCCACCCGCCTGCCCAGCCCAGCATGTCAGTTAGCCACGAAGCTAACAAGGCATTTGCCCTGGGCATTTGGGGGGCGGCATTTTTTGCCGCCCCCAGGAAAATGCCGCCCAAGGCAAATGCCTTGTTTGCCTCGCGGCTAATACGTCGCTAGGTCTACCAAAGTATATGCTTTACTAAACCAGGTAACCAAATCCCATGCAGGTCACCAAGAGTTACAGCAGGCTTCCCCGAACTCCGGCCCTCCAGATGTTGCTAAACTACAACTCCCATGCCTTGTTTGCCTCACGGCTAATACGTCGCTAGGTCTACCAAAGTATATGCTTTACTAAACCAGGTAACCAAATCCCATGCAGGTCACCAAGAGTTACAGCAGGCTTCCCCGAACTCCGGCCCTCCAGATGTTGCTAAACTACAACTCCCATGATTCTATGAATGATATAGGCTGAGAATCATGGGAGTTGTAGTTCATCAACATCTGGAGGGCCGGAGTTTGGGGAAGCCTGCGTTACGGCTTGTTCACGTGTGCTTGTGCTGGGCATTTCAATGAAGTTTTCTGAGCCAATTTCATTTCTTGAAACACCGTCTTTACAGATCTTTTTCAGAAGAAAAGGGGAACTTTCACGTCTGTCGAAATTACATAATTGAATAAACATTGAAAATCACCTATAACTTGGGTTAAAGAGGCTCTGTAACTCCCCCACCCCACGAGAAAAAAAAAGTATTTCATAAAAATAAAATCTTTATAAAATGCTCAAGCAGCCATAAAATATCATAAGACAAAGTAGTGACTACATTGTCATATGTGTTTTCCTACGCTTGACAAAACATGGCAAAAAGCACAGCTGCCTCAGTAAAGTTGAGCAATTTCCCCAAGCTCTAAGTAGTGATGGCTGTGAGGTATAAGGCATTGTCTATGGAAGCTCTTGCAATCTTACGGGATCCTCCATAGACATCAATGTTGTACTCTTGCGCATGCACAAGAGTACAGTGCTTACGTGGGCTCCTGGCAGAGGATCCAAAGAATGCGGCTGCAAGGGACAGCATTGGGTAAGTAAAACCTACCTTTCAGCGGCCTCCACACATCAAGTGGCAATGTCATCATCGGGGATCTTTGCTAAATATTCGCCACCTATAAAGGTGAGGGGTAATTCAATACTCATTTCTGACATTTTATTAGGCCACAGCCAGTCTGATGGAACCAGAAAAAAAGGTTCCAATGTATAAAGAATGAGATATCAGTTTTATACATCAGGAACGGACATGGTTGGAATCTTATGACACAAACTGAAAAACAAAACAAAAAACACAAAACTGGGCTATTCAATAAAGTGAAAATTGTTGGGGAATCAAAGCGAATATGAAATTTAAGGCCAAAATAGCTGCGCTGGAAACATTTTCCAATCTATGCTTCTGGTTCAGCTATTTTGGTCTTACATTTGAATTACATTTGAACTGACTTAGAATTTCTAAAAATGCTCACTTTAGTAAATAAATAACCCAGCTACAGGTCAGAGCTTATAAGAATGACTGACTGAGAACTAAAATGGAGGCGTTTACCTGCAGGATAAAGTGATTTGGATTTTTACAAATAATTGTCTTTTTCACACCACAATACATATTTCCTAAATGCAGGGATAAGTAAATATAATATTAAAAAAAACTTAGGAAGTAACAGTTTCTAATGAAATGTATTCATTGGTATAAAACATTATTTAAAGATTTTCTTATCCATTCTGTAATAAAAATTAAAACAGTTTTTCTTTATGGAAGATTCTGTGGCAATGTTATAAAAATGGGGAGCCACCATAATTCTGGGGGCAAAATTCTAAATGTTGACCATTTATCTTTATAACCGTAATGATACGTCTGGGGTTCAGTTTCCATGGAAACCATGGAAATATATTATACATACCTCCCAACATTTCAAACGGACAAAGAGGGGTGCTTACACTTTATGTGCTCCGAGTGGGGCGGGGCAGGGCTGTTCTGAGAAGTTTTAAGTAACTTACTAATAATTTATAGAGCAAAAATGTTTCTAAATACATTTATTGTAGTTTAACCCTTTAAGGACCAAACTTCTGGAATAAAAGGGAATCATGACATCATGTCATGTGTCCTTAAGGGGTTAAAGACACATTACTGGGAGTATTATTGCTGTGGAGCTCTGTTATACACTCAGACACATTACTGGGAGTATTATTGCTGTGGAGCTCTGTTATACACTCAGACACATTACTGGGAGTATTATTGCTGTGGAGCTCTGTTATACACTCAGACACATTACTGGGAGTATTATTGCTGTGGAGCTCTGTTATACACAGACACACCAACAATATTGAATACACGACATTAGGATAGAAAAGAGGGACAGAGGGATTTGGGGGGAGAAATAGGGACTGTCCCTTCAAAATAGGGACACTTGGAATGTATGTTATATAGAAAATTCCTGCTGATTGCTTCATTGTAGACATTTGCCCCATGTTTGCTCTTTGTTCTATTTATTATTACATGAAATGCAGCCTTTGCTATAAATTTAGCAATTCATTAAGTCACAAAACATTACATTTTCTAAATACCCATCTGCTAAAAGGCAGGTACGTCACAGAGTGAAATCACAGGAAGGAATGCACGCTTGCCCTCTTTGTGTGTGTATGTGTCTTTCCACCCACACCCTTTTTCTGATTAGACTGACATCATTACTGCATGGTTTTGGGGCAGGGCTGAAAGAGTGGAGAGAGAGGGAAGGTTGATTCTAGCTTCCAGCAGCACAGCACTGAGTAAGGTAAGAGTCTCACTCACATTGGCTGAAGGCAATTTGTAAAATTCTTTATAATTTACTGCCTGTACCTCTGCTGAGGTGATCAGGCAATGCTTCATGTGGGGTGAATGTTTAGCTAATTTGTGGAGTCTCTTTAGAGAGTGCAATGCTTGGCAAGTCTTTTTACCTTGCTGAGAGTCACAGGCTCTGTAAGGGACAGCTGGAACTGCAAAAACGCAATTCACGAGCAACGTTCTAAAATTGGAGCAAATAGCACGGAAGTTCCATAGTTTCCATGGAGACCGTTCCATTCTATTTCCACTAAAAGTAATATAGTATGGGCTCAAGGTTAACTCCAACACTCCTGATTGCACAATCAAAATCCCCATTTTTTTTTTTCCACTTTTTTTTTTTTTTAACAAGGCAACATTGTAAATTGTTTAATTTAATACCGTGTTATTCTAATCCTTTTGAGTAATATGTATCTTTAAAAACACATTGTTATAGAATTAGTTGATGAGATTGGTAAAGTATAAAGTTTGGGCAGCAATGGCAGGGAGATATGCTATAATAGTTAACACACAGTATGAAAATGAACTGTACAATACTGCGTTCTTCCTGTGTAATACTTTGTATGACCAGAGGGAAGCCACTAACTCTAAGCCTCAAGCTGTAAAATGGGTGGATTCAGCACAAAGACTCCATGTAGGGGTTTATCCACTAAACAGTGAATTTATTTTATCAGCCTTAGGCTGTAACAAGGGGTTTTAACAGACCCAGGGACTCTGCACTTTGGGGTTTATGTACTCCATAGTGAACTGTTACCTGTCTCATTGACTGTATAATTGATAAGAACAGGGAGTCTATACACAAGGGTCTATTCACAAAAAAAGTGCATCTAACCTATGTCCTATGTTTTAAAATGGATGTGTATAGTGAATATTCTTTTTTTAACACATTGGGGGTTTATTAACTAAATGGTGAATTGTATAAAGTGGCTTAAACTTTAAAACATGGTTTCTACAGAATTCCATACACGTGGTGAGTTATTTACTAAAACTGAACTTTGGATCATCAAATTTTGGTCTGAATCTTAGAGTTAAAAAAATAGTCTCCTAATTCCCATTTTTTATTTCTTTTTCCCTTCCTACTCTATTACCTGAAATGTAGCCATTTGAATTTACAGCAATCAACTGTTAGATACATCTTGCCAAATCCTGTATCCAGCTCAGTATGTGATCTGTTTATACAGGCTAAAAAAAAAACACTAATAGATCATTTAATAGTGTGTATATGATGGGATATTGGACACCGTTTTGGCCTTTGCATAAATGCACATTAAACCGTGTGTGTCTGAGTCTGCTAAAATATTTTGAGGTTAATGGGGGGGAATTTTGGAATGCAAGTGAACAGCAATGATGTGAAACCTCCCACCCCTTAAACATTTCTTAGCTTTTATTTTTTTTTATTTTTTGATGCTTGTGCATAAAAGTTAAATCTGGGGCTTTCTGAATTTGTCAGCTATGATCTACCAGTGATAAATTTATAGGGTGAGGTCACAGAACTGCACTGGGGCTTATTAACTAAACTGCAGATTGAGGAGGGAATCTCACATTGTATGGCAAAATTGCTGAATTGGAACTAATTCTCCAATATTTTCCTAACATCACTATTTGCTCCTGAAAATGTAAATTATTTTTGTTAATTATCGCCAAGAATCACTTATTTAATACATACTATAATATTCTTAAACATGGTTTTGGCTTAACTCTGCACACTGAATCTTTTGAGTGAACTCTATTGACCATGATTGCCAGATTATCTTTAAAATACCTTTTTAATCTCAGGGACTCCAGTCGATTGCAAGTCAGTATTGAAACTGGCTAGGCGGTGACTTGCATGAATTAATCATTAATCTTAGCCAGTGTTTGTAAGAGCACATATAGAGGTAGCACCCCCTTTATCTATACAGAGTATCATGGTATGATTTAACCTTGTTCACCAGATATGCCTTCTGTGTACTGGGGTAGTTTGATGCCTGTGAGGGCAACTTCAGCAGATTTTTGTCCATAATCTTAACAGGGATAAACCTTTACTGCCCCTTTAAATGACACTGTAGTATGTGAACAGTGTTCTCAGCCTTAAAATTGGTCAGTCAAGATGCCCAAAATATGAGTCATTGATGTCAAGGAAGGTGAACTTTTAAATATGGTTAGCTAGTGGTACAAAGGATTTTGCAATCCCTGCCCTTAACCCTCTGACTGCTGGGTTGTGTCGGTCCAGCCATTGATGCCTGTATGAAAAACCTAAAACATCTGTATTTTTTTTGTACTTGGAGAGTCCCTGATTTCTAGTGCTGTCTGACTTGACTGCTGGTATTGGGAAACGTAGGCCAGACTAATCAATTGCACACTTTACCACGGTATTTTGCCCAAATATTTTGCCACTTTGGGAACAAGCATGTTGTGTGTATATAGTCTTGCACTTTTATATACCTATAAATCTTTCACAAAATACAGTTAATTGAATTACTTTTTAATTATTTTTTTTGTCAAACTAATCTCATTGTAAAATAAAAAAATCTTACATTTTATTTTGTTACCAACTCATCGCAGATCAGTGCTAAGTAAAAACTAACCTAAACATTTGAAAAGTTAGAAAGGCAATGTCTTTAGTCTAAAGATTTTTTGCTGTGTAACATGGCATGCAGGGTGGGGCTGTAATAAAAATATATAACATACCGTAAAACTATTAATTTGACTATAATATAGCAGGCTTTGCTGTGAAAGACATGATTTTTTTCCCTCCAATTAAATACAATGTAATTACATTTAATAATGGTTTATTGTGGTTTCTAAAACGGTTATTAAAGAAAAGCCATGAAAAATATCTATTTTGGTTCTGTCACATACTAGTGCAGGCATGCTTCTAGATACAGTGCTGAATCAATTTGGGGAGTTACAGGCATCCTAAATATCTACCGATCGTATTCTACCTCCATGTTTGTTATTCCATTTCTCAGAATTTTAAAACTGAACAGACAATGTTTTATATAGGACCATTTAAAATATAGTATTCTTAAGTTAACGTGAAGATGAGGACGTCCCTTTTAAGGCCTCTCTTTCACCAACTTGTGAAGGAAATAAAAAAGCCTAGGCTGCACATCCTTCCTATTGTATTTGTGTCTTCCTGTATAATTACAGCACAAGCTTACAGCAGGGTTTCCGACTTGGGGCAGTATAGCAGCCATGTTTATACACCGGGGTGCATTCTGGGCAGGATTTGCTACAGTAACAAAGACTATTGTTGGAGATTATAGAATCTAGATTGTGAATTCCATAAAGCCGAAGATATCTGTTAAATGGATTTAATATTGAAATATACTAGTATAAAGTAGGATTAAGCAATAACTTAACAATAATTAGGCCTTATTGTAAACTGCCTTGAAATCTGGAGTATGACAGAGAGGGGCTTATTTACTAAATGGTACGAGTTGAACAGCATTTTAAAATATTTATTTTATTAAAGTTTGCAAAGTGATTGTTGGCTTATCCTCCCAGACATATAAAATCTAACAGTTGTACACATTCATTCCCATTTGTACACGTGTTCGATTTTGAAATAGAAGTTGGAATTTGCACATGTTATCATTGGGGTAGGGCTCAACTGGTTTACCTTTTTATCTCGGTGTAGATTAAGTCTTAGGAGTGTAAAGCCCAATATCCTTTTAAAGAAACAAAGACTGGAAGAGATAACAAAAAAGTAACCAGGTTACTCTTAAGACTCCACCCTAGTCTTAATGGTCCATAATCTCTCTATAACAAAGGCTCTACTTTCTGTAGCGAGAAAGCAAGCGATTGACTGTTATTTATCTCACTGCAAGACATGCTGTATCACTTAATAATGTATAGCACCAACATAGTCAGCAGCGCTGTCCAATGGGATTTCTTAGACTCTCGACTACTGGCAGCAGTAGTCAAGTTCTCAAATAGATTATTGCTAAGGCGATGGCACTGTCCCTTTAAGGATGGGTTTATTACAGGGCATTCTGGGTAGAAAGTGCAAGACCTTTCCCCATGCCCTGTATGTGGACACCTTACTCTGTGTGCAATTGAGATGATGTGAGGAGTTTACTAGGATCTGGCCCAGTAGATAAAGGCATGAGAATTCTGTTTAACACAAGATGGCTATTGTTTGGTAATCTCATTCAGTACAAGGCATTGTTTGGGCCTTTTAATTTATTACAGGATACATATGTTTAATAAGTCTCTAAGGGTGAGGCTCCCAGAATTTAAAACCCTATTGAATTAAACAATTTATAATTGCCAGTTTCATGTTCTGTAATGTGTCAAATAAACAATGTCTCTGCCAATAAATGCTGCCCGAGCTGGATGTAGTCGGCATTGATAATATGAAGGAGTTAAAGGGGCACTACATGCACTATAACCATTTAATCTCACTGAAGTGGTTATAGTACCTGGAGTCCACTGGGGCTATCCATCTATTGCAGGCTTCCCCAAACTCCGGCCCTCCAGATGTTGCTGAACTACAACTCCCATGATTCTAGGGATGAAATAGGCTGAGAATCATGGGAGGTGTAGTGCAGCAACATCTGGAGGGCCGGAGTTTGGGGAGCCTGCTCTATTTAGTGATAAACCATTTTTGAACAGTTTAACACTGAATAAGGGTCCCTGTCTCCCCACAGCCCAGCCCCCACTTGATGTATGACTAAAGCAGATATTACACACTTCCTTCTAGTCAGATTAATACATACATGTAATGGAAACTGATAGACTTAAAGCATAGAGGGGGGTCAGCTGCTGGGGCCTATCATTTACCATTAAAAATGTTCAACACTGAATGGAAGGACAACGCCACGGGATTCAGGCACTATAACCACTTCAATTAGATAAAGCTGTCACAGTGTCCCTCTAACTAGCCCCACCATCCTGCAATGTGTACTATAGGGCAGCACATTTAAATATGGCCTATCAAGCATTTAAAAAAGTGATGCCCGCAGAACATTTTATATCATTTTCTGCACTTTTTTTTTTTTTTTGGAGGTAGATTTGAGAAATGTTATTACACTGCTAAAGGTGGAGAAATCACCCTACGAACCAATGGAATGTTCCCACTGATTGCTCGCCATTTATTGGCTCTCATCCAATGGTCCTACTTAGCTCAGTGGCGCTAACCCGTGGCTCCTACAAGAGAAGGCGGAAACCGGGTTTGCGACTTTGGGTGCGCAGAGGGCTGTAATAAGACTTTCCTGTAGCATTGCTCAATATACAACAGAATTCTCCACTAAGTACAAATTTCCCCATATTAAATAAAGCCTAATATTTGAATTCTACAAAGGATGTATTGTTTTAGTGGATAAGAGATTAAGGGTTACAGTCAGATTGTAGGCAGGAGAGTCTATTTGTTGGGACTTAGAATTGCTAATTTCCTCAATACAATCCTTCATTTATTGCACAATATGAGGACACTTCTTGTTTATTTTGAAAGCCGCTGGATCGTGAATTATCATCCCATAATTCTTTCTGTATGGCAGTCTTCCCTGAATAATGTATTAACTTAGCATATTAACAGGGAAAGTTCTAAAACAGATTTTCTTGAATGAGTCACTGAACTCTGTCTATGGTATTTATCTTGAAATGTTTCCACCTAATTAGATGGCAGATAAGGGATTGACCCACCCAGTTTGCCATTCTACTGTTTGTTCAAAACTTGAATATTTCACTCCATCCCCTCATGGACGACTGCAGGTACACCTACTGCTTATCAATGATAACATAATCTTTAATATTTAGGATTAATTACATATTCATTTGATTTAAGCTTCCAGATCTGCAAAATCTCATTGCCTTTATTTAAAAAAATTCAAACTATGGCAAAAATGTGGACAATTTAATCTGACAATTATGGGGTATAAAAGGCCTAACAAAGATCTGGATTGCAGGCAGAAACAGATTAACAGAGGCGTTTTTCACAAGCCACCAAACTGTAGTGAATTAAAAACTGCATATTAAAATTTAAGCTAAAGTAGCCAAGCAGTGATTGTTGCCATTTGTTCTTAGACACTCCATTGTCCAAATGATAAAATCTATATATATGAATGTTTAATAGATATACCCTAAATGAAACCATGCATGCATTTTATGATGGATATTTCATTAACGGTATACCTGACCTAGCTTGCAAAAGCTGCAGATCACTTGTCTGCAGCCTTTGCAAGCACTTTCTTTCTAACCCCGCCCAGACTTTCTGTTGCTGTCCAATCAGACTTCCCGATACATCTCATTAAGAAGTCTTTTCAAGCCACATGCAATGACTGTCTTTTGAATTTGGCTCCTCTGAGCTAACCAAACCAGGAAATAACAGGCCCAAATGTCTCATTGACAGCTAGGGAGGAGGTGTAATAAGGTTCATTTGTAAAAGAGCCAATTTCTATTTAAATCTGGATATTTTTATTTTTTAAATGGGGAAGGAAAGAAAAGGACACACTCGTCACATATAAATCACTTAAGCAAGCTAAAGTGCTTTAGGGATTCACAGTGTTCCTTTAATTTACTATGAATCTATGTTTAGCTCTACCTGTCCCCAAAGGCCTGTAACTGTTGCTAATGCAATGCTTTGTTAAAGGGATTCTATAGTGCCAGGAAAACAAACTCGTTTTCCTGGCACTATAGATTTCCCCTCTGTCAAGGCACCCTCCCACAGCACAAAAGGGTTAATAACCCCTTCAGTCACTTACCTGGGTCGAGTGCTGCTCACGTTCAACCCAGTTATATGGCTTTAACACCTTAGTATAAAAAAAAAAAATTTAAAGCTATTTTATTTTATTTTTTTAAATCACATTTTCAGAACCATTTGAAATATTTTCACGGCAGTTTTATGCAATATATTTCTATGAAACAAGCAATGCATGTAGCCTACCTAAAAACCTCAATTACATCTGCAAAGATAAGCGCCCACATGTAATAACATTAACACCAGCTATCATAAGTGTATTAGGGGGTTGGAGTGGTCACTACAAACGCTTTGACGCATGGAGACACGCGTGCAGTGAGGCATGTCTGTCCGCTGCCCTGATTTCTCTGTTGTCACTGGCTATTTATCTTTGCTAATTACCACAGATTAATCAAGCCACTGAGAGCAAATTAAAATGTAAAAATAATTTTAACTTCCTGCCTTGAAGCTATTTACAAGACAATTTAAATTGGCTGGATTGCTCTGTATCCAAGAGAAATGTGTGCATTTCCTTAGAGCACTTATCCTACCCCCTAATTCTACTCAAATATTCCATTAAATACAACGCCCTTTTATGCGGCAAAATTTCCGTAACTAATTAACATTTCACAACGACCTTTTACACCCAACTATTCCTACCATAAATTTCTCTAGTCAACAAAAGATTAGTTCAAGAAAAGTCCAAAGGGGGTCTTAGTGCTCATACACTAAACCTTCATAGCTGTAAACCATTCTTGGACCCTTTTGAGAAGCCTTATTCGTGGCAGGATTAGCAAGATGACTGCGTGTTTTCCATTTGTGCAAAATAACAAAGAACTTAAGACTGTTTATTTATACTGGCCTCTGCTTTTAAAAATTGGCCAAGGAAGAAGGAAAAAAAAATGTGCTTGCAAAAAATGCATTAAAAGAAGAATTCTAGAGATTCTCCACTAAGAAGCCGCTCCTAATTCTGACAATACAAGGAGGGTTTCAGCTTGTGAAAGGCGAGCTGCAGAGGTGGCCAGAGTCCCAAAGGCTCACACTGGATGGATTATAGTCCAAATATCCAGATGGAAATACATTATTGTACAGAATACAAAAAAACTAAAATGTTACAAACCAGAGAACACCTTAAATTGTACAATCTGACAAACAGCTGACTTCGGAAAGGCACAGAAATGGCATTCCATGCAAATGAGCTTTCCCTAGATCCTCCAGTGCTCCATCCCTCAAATTAGCATAAATTAGTCATTTATTTCTTTTACAGTTTTTATAAAAAAAAAAAAATATATATTTTTTTTTTTTTCAAGGTGGCCTTTCCTCATGAGTGTGACTGTCACCACTATGGGAGGAACAGAAAGGTGTAAAACCTGCTGCCTTTGGCTCCTCCATTTATAGGTCAATTGAGTGAATTGCTGGCAACATATGAACATTAAGATAAGGTGGGGGGAAAAAAAATGAAGAAGGCTCTCCATTCAAAGAATTCTGGTAGGCTATCCCCATTTAACTGGGAAGGGAGAGAGGCAGAGTTTGTAATCCCTGGTCTGCCACATTGGATGTGATTAATAAAGGTTTGTTACCACCACCACCCCCATAGAAATCCGGATTAACCATTCAGTGACCTTAGGCAGCCACCCAGGGGTTAGACTGGGTCCTTTAAACCATGTACTTTGCTGACCTGTCATATACCATTCCTAAGTGAAGAATCAATGAGGTGAGATAACCTCCCTGTGTGATTCTAATTCTTCTCTGCCACCAAAGAGTGCACTGGCAACACCTTAAAACTTTTGGGAAGCCATAAGCTAAACTAGTGCTGCTTTTAAACCGTTTCTTTAAAATGTAAAAGAACAATCCACTCCCTCTAGAATGTAAGCTCATTGAGCAGGGCCCACCACCCCCTCTGTTCCTGTACCTCTAGTTGTCTGGTTACAATTACATGTCTGTTAATCCACCCATTGTACAGCGCTACGGAATCTGGCGCTATATAAATAATAAAATAACTACAATATGTTTGCTCTCTGAAAATCTATACACTTCTATTGCCACATGTTTTCTTGCAGTGTGAGAACATTTAATAAACCCAGAAATTGTGATCAACACTTATCTTCAGAATCAACTCCTGTGATTGGTGCCAATGACTTATTATTATTATTATTATTATTATTATTATTATTATTATTAGCTTCTCAGAATTTAATGCGCCAATTTTTTTTAAATTTTTTTTTTAAGTTTTAGTAATCTCATTATTTTTGGGGCTTGTAAAGCATTTCAAACTGTTGGATAAATAGTGTTTAGAGCTAAGCCGTTCTCCTTCTGCTCTTTGCTCGTAATTGCAGTCCAAGGTGGACGCAATCTCTCTTGGCAAGGTAGAGCGGTAGTTTCCTTATTATCCATGAGACTGAATAAGGAGAAGCATAGGTAACTGGGAAAGCCACTAGTTGTCCGCGATAATTTTTTTTAACCAAAAAAACAGGAGTACGTGCCTATAAATATCCAGTACTATAATCACAAAAATGAACTTTAGTGGTTATGGTGCGTGGACGCCCTTTTAAGAGGCTCTCGGTGAAAGGATTTGGGTGTGAGACGCAATACAAGATTGATTTATCTATTATTCCTACCGTGATTAAGGAGAACAAAATGCATATACAAATATCCTTGTTAAAGAGTCTCCATCTTCGATTTTGGTTCATTTCATTTGTTCTCCTTTTAAAAGGGAGGGCGTTTATAAGAAAGCCAAATCATTGTATTCTCTGTAGATTCTTATTAATCTTCCTTTTATTGCTGCCAAATCTGCATGCTTTGCAGATTCTAATTATTATTGAGGTCTAAGATGTAATGAACCCATAAATCTTTTTATTTTATTTTTTTCCTTTTTCCAGGGAAATAGTTCAGCATCCCTGACTGGATGAGCAGTACTGAAAATAAACGTTTGTCCATAAAGCCATGGCTTTATTATATTATTTTCATCAAGCTGAACTAGGCCTTGTTTTGTATCAAGAAGAGTTGGAATAGGTCTGGTGAACTTAACTTGGCTTGATAATGTCTACTAGACTTTCGCATGGCTGAAAATTCCAGTTCCTTTGAATTCAATACATTTAGTTTTGTCCAAAACAAATTTTGGCCATTGGAATTGCCATGTTTAAGGGTGCCAAATTGGTAAGGGTGCTGGGTTTTGTAGATGGCTCCCTATTTGTTTAATTAAATCTGGCAATCCCATACAAGAATCCAAAATTGGGCAGCTATAAGAATAAAAGAAAATGTTCTTAGGTTTGGTCTTTCAGCTGTTTAGTAGATAGCTCCATAATTTGGTAAACTGGAATGGGGCTCTCATATTAAAGGATACCAAATTAGGAAGGGAGCTGTGTTTTATTAATAGATACTGCTCCCTAATTTAGTATCCTTTAATATAGCAATATCACGTCAGGGTACCAAACTAGGGAGTTGTCTAGTAAAGAGCATTAAAAGGTATTCTATAGATCCAGGGAAACAAAGCCATTTTCCTGGCACTATGGGTTACTACAGTGTCACGTACAGTGGCTTAATGCTTTCCTATGGGGATTCCGGTGACGCTGGAAGTCCTCATGCATAGCGTGAAGACGTCCAGCGTAATTTAGACTACCAAAAGATGTCTAAGCACCTGGAAGTCCCTTTAGTGGCTCTCTGGTAGACAGCCACTAGAGGAGGAGTTAACCCTAGCAGGTAATTATTGCAGTTTCTCAAACTGCAATAATTACCACTGTAGGGTTAAGGGACATGGAACATTGCACCCAGACCTCTTCAATGAGCTAAAGTGGTCTGGGTGCCTACAGTGTCCCTTTTAAGACCAATATTTAGAAACCAATAGATGACACCTAAAACTTGAAATGGGTGCCCTTATGTGGGATCACAATATCAAAGTGTATTACATTAGGAATTTGTTTAGTAGATTTTAAAAAATGTAAAAAATATTCGATAGCTCCCTAATTTGGTACACTTATTGGATCACAAAAGGTAGCTACCTACTAAACACTCCCTAATTTTCTACCCTTAAATATATCAAACACTGAAGTGCCAATTTTATGAATTTATCTGAATGAACAAGTTGTGAAGAATTTTAATTGCGTAATTCTTGAATTTGTGCATTTATTATTTTGACACCAAAAAAAATGCACAAATATGTCTACTATGGTCAATGGAAAAAAAAACAAATGGCGTGTACATGAAAAATCTCTTCCTTTAAAGGAAGACTCAAAGCACCATGAACCTTTTCAGCTCTTTGTAGCAGTTATGGGGAGAGGAGCGCTCTGCGACGGTCTTATTGTAAGTAGTCAACCTGTTTTAGAACAGTTTGGCCATTAATCCGGGTTGCCCTAGATGCCCATTCCACATCTGGCATCTTCTGCAGAATTAGTCAAATATGTGTATAGAATGAGGAATCGCCTATTCAGGTCAATGCTGAATGACTGTCGAAACTCTGAGCCAATGGCCTTGCTTAGCACTGTTGTACTAACCACATTCTCTTAAAGGAAAAGACTCGTTGAAGGTCATGCATAGGCAGGCACCCAGTGGGACCTAGGTAATTGTTTGCTATATTAAAATAATTTAAAGAAACAATACAGTGTTGGTAATACAAATGGGTATTCCTAATGCTATAGTGCCCTGGTGGCCACCACCTGCAGGGAGGGAAAAAAAAAATCTATACTTCCGATTTCTCCCTTGTTGGGCGGCTGGCCCTGAAATTGACCTCAGCCAATCCTCCAAGGCTTTCCCACAGAACAGAAATGTTTCCAGCTACTGGGTTGAAATCGAGATGAAGCAGCCTGGGTGCCTGTAGTGTTCCTTTAACTATTTACCATGGGATAGAACCAGTATCTTGTAGTGCTTATGGTACTTGGGATATTCTTAAGTTTCTCTTCATGGCACATGCTCTTTTCTGAGCAGAAAGAACACGATATAGAATTTAACATCGTAGTAGCGATAGAACATGGTCAGTCCTCCTGGCAGGAATGGCTCTGCTTCTAATATTTTCAAAGACCATAAATTTAGTTAAATGCGTTTAGCCATAAGGAACTTATGTCCCAGTACTTAACTGACATCTAGCAAAATAATCGTTAAATAATTAGAATATTTTTTTTATTTCCCAGTGACTCATTGCATTTAATACTTTGCTAATCATTTCTCACTAATCTGAGTGGCTCCTCAAGGACCGATTAAAAAGCTAAGCGCTTCTTACTTATGCCGCTCTTGAGACGGGTGCTTGATTGTTAATGCGTTATGATTCACGTCAGCTGGATGGTAATAAGCACATAAAGATCTCTAAGTAGACAAAGCACCCAGAGATTAGCACTAAACATGTTTGTGAGAATGCTGGCTGTCACCACCTCATTAAAAGCACTTTCATTTGTTGTGCTCTAAGTGCTGTTTGTGGATCCGACGGGACATGTTGCAAAACGGTGACCTCACCTCGCAGACGCACACCCACCAGCTCTCTACAATGCCTGGAAATTTGAGTCAAACTAAATGAGGTCATCGTTCGCTTTGTCTGGCAATTCATTTTATTATGTAATACAGTAAATTAAGGAGAACAGAACAGAGCCGTATGATGTGCTTTTCACAATATGAATGTGGACATTCTGTGGTTAGAGATGGCCTCTTCATATTAAGAAATGGAGAGCCGTCAATAGGACGTAGCGGTGGCTTAGATATAACAATTTCATGTTAGGAGATTGGAGACAAACACACCATAAAGTGGCATATCTTCCAAGTGTCCCTATTTTGGGCTCATATCCATATGTTGTTATTCGAGCGATTTATAACGGCATCACAGAATTAGAGACAAACTAATCATTTTTGATATTCGGATATTGCAGAGAGAATTGCTCACTAGGAAGCAGAGCAGTCCTTATTCTAAATAATTTTTATATTGGAAGGCAGAAAAGAGAGGGAGGACCAATGGGAATTAGAGATCTGTTCAATATAATCTCTACATATGGCCTTGATTTAATTAGCTTTCCAAATCATTCAATACTGTTGGAAAAATGTTTCTAAATTATATATCTACAGAAATCACTATTAAGGTTGAAGGGATTTTTTTTTTTTTTGGTAGATAAATAATTTGTAAAATGTTTCTAAAAGATTGTAATTTAAAAAAAATAATTAATTGAGGCCTTTATTAGAAAGACTGGAGAGAGATATAGCCTGTGACTATTTGAGATTATCTTGTTGTCTTGGTTTATTAGTGTAGGGATACCCAAAAGGGATGTAAAAATGGCCTTTGATGGTTTCAGAGATACATCAAGGAAGCTTAGATGTCCTGGTTTGCATTCTAATCTTTCTTAATTCTGGATCGTTTACAATTATCCAGTAGGATGTAGAGATGGCCTCGTAAGAGTTAGGAGATGGACACCTTGAAGGATACAGAGATGGTCCCAATATTGAAACCCCTTCATATATGGAGATGACAGACCTATAATACGGATAACCTATGCGTTGTAAACTGTTCTTTTATTATTAGAGACACCCATTAATTGTTTCATTATGCATTAATTAACTTCAGCCAAGTAGTGTGCAACATAATGTAGGAAACCAATAAACATTCTGAAATGACCGCCTGAAGGTGAAGCCCATAAGGTAAAATTGTTCTAGAATTTACACATAAGTCTAAAATGGTATAAATTACAAAGGTAAAAAATATATAAATTTTAGTATACAAAGCGAAAAGGCAAAAAATTTAGACTCCTATTTAATTACCACAGAATTGAGCAATGTAAGTGCTCTTTGTAATTGTGTCATTTATATAAACATTCACACAAATCTAATTCCAGAGATACACGCGCACACAGATTTTTTTTTTTTCCCAGCTCAGACCTAAATCATTTCTAGACAACTTGACATAAGAACTAGACCTCAGACCTACTATTGATTTACTCGCTCCCCCTCAAAAATTGCTTAAGAAGCACAGACTGGAATTTCTACAAATAAAATGGACATACTCCCAAATTTGGACAGAAAGAATTTCTCGAAGAAAGTATCCTCTTGCTAATGGATGAAGATAGATGATTTAATGGGACTCAAGCCAGTAATCTTACAAATCCTTCAGGGGCTCTATTTTTAATACGAGGGGGGGCAGGCAATCTATCTCTAAAGTGTGTTCTACAACCCTTCTCACTCTGTAACCAGAGTTGGGAGAGCGATTAGGGCAAATAAGGGACACAGATGATTGAAAATAAATAATTGGATATTCGCCATGGTTACTGTCGGCTTTTAACTGTTTAAATATGAAAAGTACTATTTTAAGTTAACAGAGTTCACAAAATCTCTGAAGCACAGCCCAGTCACTATCATTCTATTTTATTACATATAATTTTGAAATTTTTTTTATTTAATTTTTTTACACAGACAATATTTACTATATGCTAATATTTAGGTACATCCTGGGTTATTTTTATTGCTATTATTTCCCAGCTTTTCTGTATGTATTTTATTGAAATGACTTTGGTTCGACGTGAATCTGGTTTATTTTTTTTGTTTTTTTAAACAGATACTAGATATTCTGCAGGGCAGCAGTTTCGCAACATATTACAAATTCTCTTGCCTCTCTCTCTTTCAATCTGCGTTCCAAACCATAATTACATTAGTGTTTTGCAGTGCTCTAACCTGCATTTATAAGCAAACGTGCTGGGAGACGGGGCAGGCGGCTGATTTCACAACCTACGCTTTCACAATAAACATAGCATATGGTGCTTGGACTGCCCCTTTTTAAAGAAACACTCCAATCACCATAACCATTAACAGCGCATTATAGTAGTTGGTGTTTGGAAGGCCCTAGCAACCCTCCCCCATTCTAACTATTCAATTGTTTTAATTGGCTTGCAGCCTTACCTGTGGTCAGCTGGGCGCTGCTCCCTGTCTCCACTACTTCCATCACAGAACTGGAAGCTCTCTGTTTGAGTTAACCCAGCTTAGCAGTTTTCCAGATCTCTGGGTAAGTATTGTAGACAGGGAGCAGTGCCCGGGGTGTCCCAGTTAACAGGTCAGACTATTCTAAAATGGTTAATTACAAACAATTGGTGGGGGTTCCAGGACAGTCCTGGCACCATAACCACTACAGTGCTGTGTAGTGATTATGGTACTTGGAGTGTTTCTTTTTTACTGCAACTAACAGAAAATATGAAAAATACCAATAGCTAGATTTATTAATTTCGCAATGGCAGCTAGATCATGTTGCACGAACATATTAATCTATTGCCTTAATATGATTAATAGCAGTATATTGTATTAATCCTGCATGCTGGTGTCTGTATACAGAATAAAATCCGGTTTTCTTGCAGTAAGAGCCCAAGCAAGTAGATTTTTCTCCCAAAAATGGTAGCAATTCAATGTAGTCTCTCAACACTCCACTATCCAGAGGGTCTGCAGCAAATTCTTCTCTTAAGCCACTTGTAGGTCAGTTTATATGACGTAATGTTTCAGGACTGAATGTGTCAGCCTAACCTGTAAAGCTTACATAGTTCATTCAGAAATCTAGAAAAATGACCTGGATCTCAATAAATCACCTCATTTGTTTGACAGAATATTTCAGTTTAACGTTTAGCTGATTGTTTTACTTAGCGTGATTAATAAAATCCCACTTTGACATTGCAAGCGCCTTCTGAAAAGGCACAGATCATTTAATCTAAATTAATATTTCCCATACTCCTCAAGTACTATAACCCCGTGTCAGTGCGTGTATATTGCGTCTTTGCCAACATTGATTCCCCCTTCGACTGTAACAGTGTCTCGGTTTGTTATTTGCATCTGAAGTAAATTTAGTGATATGGAGGTACACACAGTGCTTACGACCTATATAGCGATAAACTAACCGTAAACCGATTATTAAAAAATAACATAGAGAACCTCAAGATGGCAATTTCACCCTTCATCTCCATGTAGTTTTTGCCATGTTTTGTTAGGTTTGGTGGACGGTGGTAGGTTCCATTTAATCTCAAGGATGAACTAGGAGATTCTTGTTCTGGTTCCACACTTCCTAAATTTCAAATGAACAAAGAGGGACACATTACATTTAGGGGTGTTAGGGCATGACCAGAGGCTGGGCTGTTCTGATAAATTTTAGGTGACTTACCAATAAGTTTTACTACTGAAATGTCATTTAAAACCAGAACAATGTTATGTAGTGTAGTTTAAAGACACTTTACTATGAGAATTATGGCTGTGTTACACACTTGTGCCAGCATTTCGGATCTGGACTGGCCTTGTGGGCGTGATCAGTCTGATATGCAATTAGTATACTTTATCTCTATAATGGCGCAAGTGAATAAATTTCAAACCTGAGTGGGGATTAACCAATGCGGAAGCGTTTGAGGTTTCTCTGAGCTTTTGCCCATACTCAGTTCTCGTATTCTCTATTTTTGCTTCTATGCATTTGACGTGGGCCCCGTGTTTACTGTGACTACAGGGATATCGGTTACACCTCGCTGACAAAACCTAAAGAAGGCTGAAAAGATAGTCTGGTATTGCTGTATCTCTCGTGCCAAGGGAACTTGCCAACATATCCGATCTGGACTGCCCTTACGTGCAGGATCAGTGTAATATGCAAATGTTACAGGTTCTCTCTGTATTCGCATAAGTGAGCAAAAATTCTCTTGAGACCAGAGTGGTAATTAACTTACGAGCAAGCTACTGAGTTTCTCTATGCATGTCTGTTCTTTGTTTTTGCTTCAATACTTTAAGACACACAAACGTTACAGAGCTCCTAGAAAAGAGGGATTATTTTTATTATTAGGATAGGAAAAGTTAGAGGAATCTCGGCTCAAGATAGGGACTGTCTCTTCTAAATAGGGACACTTCGGAGGTATGCAGTCTTTCCAAGATAAGGGAGTGTCTCTCTGAGATTCGGGTTCAAAGAATAATCATCGACATCTCCTCTACCATGCAGGACTACCCATTAATATAACAGGCATATAATGCTTTTTCGTACATAAATCCCTCTACTTTTTTGGCAGTCCGTTGTCTCTGTGATTGACGACTGCCACACTTCCAGAGAGATTCTGCTGACTTATTACTCACAGACAGCCTCTGCCAGACCAGTTGTGGTTTTGAACTTGGTAGCAAGCAATAGTTTGAGGCCCTGCTCAGGAATAGGCTTTTATGATGGAAATGTAACTCGTCGAGAAATGACTTATTGGGAAATAAAAGTCTTTAAGATATTCCTGGTGAACTCCCCAGAGAGATGTACATGTGCTATTAATAGAGAGACAGCAAGGAGACTGAATTTTCTTGGCTGTGAAGGTCCATATTAAAGCACCTGACCGGAACAAGTCGTGAAAATATAGACTCAACTGCTGAAAGGTCCTGTAATCTCAACAGGCTCCTTGTTCCTAGAGAATCATTTATTTTCTCCTTTTCAGAGAAAGTGTTTTTTTTTTTTTTTTTTTCAGTAAGCGGAACTGCTTTGAAGTGTGCGAAGTTCAAGACAGATGTCAAAAAATATAGTGTACTCTAACCTAGATTTGTGGCTGCATGGACTGAAGTTGCTGAAGAGTCAATGGCATGTCGTAATCTTTATCCAAAAACACTAAGGACGAGACAAAAAAATGTGACATGCTTTAAAAAAAATATATTTTTTGCTTATTTTTCTTCAAGACAAAAATTTTGGAAGACCTTAGCTGGTGCTTCCTCCTATAGCAGTTGGTTTTACATGGCCTATTTCAATGGAAATGGCACAGATAAAATGGGCTATAGAAACTTAAAATAGACAAGAGAAAAAGGGCAAGCCTCAGTGACCCGGTTATTGGTTTTATGATCCGGATATAGAATTTAGTAATCATAATGGCTTCTTGTGAAAACAGCCTTTGTTTGCAAACCGAACACCTCCCAGTAGTTGGAATGGCCATTGACTGGGACCTATTGATGGATATTAAGAACAAGCTTGGGGTAACATTTTTTTCAGGTTTGTGTATACATTTGTTTGCTCAGGAGTTTTGTGTCCCTATTCCTTTGTCTTTTTTAATAAAAATTTCTGAGCCATTTTTTCTTTTTTCTAAGCAGTGTTACGCTATGTGCATATTGTTAGTTTAAACCATTATATCCACACCTTATGTCTTATCACGGGAAAGTGGATTTTATGGTCACTCTGCACAGGTGTTGTTGGGGCAACCGTTCTGTGTTTTGTGGTAACAATTGTTGTGTTGTGTTGTTGTGGAAACTGTGGTTGTTGTGGCAACAGCTTATTCTCGTGGTGGGAATTTTAGGTGGTTGTGAGACATTTCTAATACTGACTCATGCAAATAATCGTTTTTGCTTTTTTACATTTGATAATAAAAGCCTTCACATGGAACCGAAACAAGCTTAGAACATTAGTCTGTAAAAACATGAGCGCTTTGATTCCCGTGTCTATTCATTTTTACAGTTACCCAAGCATACAAAGTCCAAGGGACTGTCTTTATCGGCACACCCCTTGCCTGAATTGCTTGTCAGTAAGAATTCTCTAGTCGGCATGTTTGAGCAGGAGCAGTCGCGGCTATCTCTTTGCTGTTCTGGCAGTTTCTTTGCCTGTTAATTCATAAAGTTTGTAACTGTATCCCATATCTTGAAGATTCTCAGACGTCCTGCTTCCAGGGTCTGCCAAAGTCCTGTAAGCTAACGTATTTGGTCTGTACCAGAGACGCCTAAAGGATCTCGCAAATGAGTCTCTGTCTCTGTAGTTTGGCTTTGAGAGAGCCTGAAAGTTAATGTAATCCTACAACAGTCCAATAGTGGAGCCAAAAAATAATTTTCTTTTCCACAGTACAGTCACACAATATACTGACTGGACCCTACTAACTTTGACCACCACACAAAACTTTTTTACCCACCAAAATCACTTCTCCCCATTGTGGAGCTAATGGAAGTAAATCGATATTCCTTTAACCCCTTAAGGACCAAACTTCTGGAATGAAAGGGAATCATTACATGACCGGTCACACATGTCATGTGTCCTTAAGGGGTTAATGAAAGTTCTCTATCTTCTACAAATGTTAGGCACCGTGTAACAAAAGCAAAAAGTCTGTTCCCATTTTTATTACACCGCATGAGTTGGCATTGAATCTATAACAAATGTGGATTTTGAGCCGGGTCCAATAACAGATTTGCGGTTACCTAGTTGATTGCGTTTAAAAATGCCAGTTGATTTTGTGTTCCGGTTTCACGTATATACAAAATCAGTACATTGCTGTATTCAAATAAACTTTGACATCCTAAATGATTTGGAAGAATCGACTGCCTTTGCTCTACTCTTGCCTTCTTTCCATTGTGTAAACACATAGCAATATTATCCCAATCAGGCACCTTAGCCCATTCCCAACACCAGGACTGCGGGAGCCATTTTTACTTTGAAAAACGGGTGGGTGAATTCCAGTTCATCTACTGGGTGTTTTATGTGTTTTGTGTTATTTTTTTATTTTTTTAAAATTTTATTTATTATTCTTATTATATTATTTATATAGCGCCATCAGATTCCATAGCGCTGTACAATGGGTGGACTAACAGACATGTAATTGTAACCGGACAACAGGATGTACAGGAACAGAGAAGTGGAGGGCCCTGCTCAATGAGTTTATATTCTAGAGGGTTAGAAATGGACTGCACCAATAGGGCAGGCTTGAATGTGGAACATTGCGCAAGCCACATTGACCAAATGGTTAAAGCACTTTGTTATATTAAACATTTTAGGTTTTGTTTACACCTTTTATGAAGGAAACAGACTGTCTTTACCACCCTCACTAGAAGCTTCCTACATCAAACTAATGTTTTTGTAAAAGGATCTCGCTGGAGTTTAGTTTCTCATCATAGAGGCCTCATCACATTTGGACGAAGATTCAAAGAACTTAAGAGATATAAAGTCTCAGCCAACTTCCTTGTTTTGTTTCAGGAGTAGGAGAAACATCCATAGGGAACCACATGAGAGGCCACAGAACAATATGTAGCCAACGTTGACTGTCTCTCGGGATTTGTCGAGCCCTGTATCTGATACAGTGTCAGACATATGTCTTGCCTCTAACTTCTTCTTACCTCAGGAACAGATGCTTCATCGTCCCTGGTCGATACATCCACGTGCCTGGCTTGTTACACTTGCACATCAGGGAATAATTATGTATGAGATATAATCTGTTGACATGCTTCAAGCAGATGCAAGAGTTCTGGCATATTGAGAATACAAATGGGCACAACTATAGTCCCCAGACACTTTCTATGCATTTGTTGGTAAAATGGTATTCTTCATTGGATCTCTTAGCTGAGCCCTGTTGTCTTGTGGACTCTTTTCTAATCCATCTCTTTTGTTTGGAAATTTCTGTGCCCATATAAATCTCATGCTTGCTCCAGAATCTGGAAAGGCTGCTGACTGCTGTAAATTAGGATATACATACAATATTTAACATTAACTAAAATGTCAAACTTGTTGGAGTGTCCATCCTCAAATATTGCATGTTTTTATTTCGGACTCTATCATCTGCCACTTTCTGGTGGTTGGTGGTTCAGCATTAAAGACCACTGATGATGCTTTTCTGTACTTATGGACCAAGCCCTCTGTAGATCTACTTAGTATTATCCTGTGTTTTTGTTTGTTTGTTTTGTTTTTAGCCATGCATAGTTGCATATCTAAAAAAATTGAATATATGACAAGTTCACACAACCTTCCTCTGGTTTTTTCCTTTTGGTCGATCAACAAAATGTCATCAATATGGAATGCTGTGTCTACATAATCATAACTGTGGACATAAGATTTTGGCCAATTGTGACTCAGTCTCTGTGTGTGCTTTGGGCGCGTCAGTTTATCATACACAGCTATGCTGGCAGTTTTCACACCCAACTGGGCAGTATGTGTGACATTTAGGGAGGAGGCCATGGGCTGCTGCTATGAATGGCTATTTTTAAAGGGCAGCGTCATTTTAAATCTGTTGGGATAGGTCTTGTTTGAAAAAGGTGTGAAAGACTGCTCAGATGGTCTGTCCATGTATTTTGGAATAATGTCGCAAGCGATCATGACATCTTGGAAGATATTTATCATAGTGTTCTAAAAAGTGGTGCAAAAAAGGAATGGGCCTGGTGGTTCCTCTTGTTTCCATACTGATGGTTCCACTTCTAGTACTTTAGAACAGAATCCCCCGTTAAGTATTGGAAGGACAGTATACAGAAGAGACTCTAATTGGCAAAATGTAGTCATCCTGTAGGAGCTATAACCTTCTACCTGCTGCTCTCTTATTAGTGTAAAAGTGTTCTAATTTAGAAGCCTCAGTTCTAGGTACTACATTAGCCATATCCTGTGAGGTTGTGTTTTTTGTTTTTTTTGTGGGGAGCAGCTGGTCTTATATTGGATCCTGTTCTGTCACTATGCATAGACTAAACTGATGAAAAGTCCAGTAATCTCAACTGGCTCCTTGTTCCTTGTTCTTCTATTCTACGCATAGAAAAGTATTCCATTGGAAAATTCTGAATTTTGAGCAACTCTACAATAATAATTACAATTTCTTCTACTTTTCTGTCATAGCAACGGCACTCTACATGTCTCCACTAAAGAGTTAGGGCATCATTGATTCTCATAAACCAGGCATCTGTACTTGGGTTAGGGGGTATCTAGCTGGTCCTCCTATTGAACGAATGAGAGATGGTTATGGCATACCTTTCTTTTTTAAAGGTGCTCATTATAAGTGTTGCTATAATAGGGATCGGCTCTTGACTCAGTCCGTTCTGCTTCTGTATGATTTACATTAAAATGCTGCCCATCATTCTTGCCACGCTATGTTTTGTTTTCTTTTTTATATATTTTTCCACCTCCTCCTCCTCCTCAAGGTGGCTCCAGGCAAGTATAAACAGGCTCCTAGGCCCTGTTTCCTAGCGACAGGCTCCAGTCTGGCGTTTTTCTCATATGAGATTAAAAAAATAAAAAATATCTTGGCTTATTTTCAGACAACCAAGGTTCCTCCTGGCAGCTGTCACAGTATTTTTCCACAATGTTTACTCAACTGTCAAAGTCCTGAATTCAGGAGGCCTGCACTTTGCGCTGGGTTTCAGCAGTTCACATATTTAATATATCCATGTTATGAGAAGATTTTTCTTTTTAACAAAAACACTAGTAATTTAATGGCGGCGTAGATATAAATGCCTGTTTGGAATAATTCCACAGAATTTGTTTGCTCCACCGGCCAATAAAGGAAGAGTGTGTCAGGGGTTATCGAGATATTAAGAGTGAATTGTGACTTTTAGTGGTTTGGAACCCCTAGAGCATATGATCCATCTCAACCTATCTAAAGCATAGTATTGTTTGAACTAATAATTTGGCATTCGTTGTGGAACATTCGTAAACATTTTATTTTTTTTTCTCCTATTTTGTTTTTAAATTATTTTGAAAATCTGGCTATCTAAAGAAAAAAAAAAATAAACTATAAAAAAACAAACAAACAAACACACATTTTGGGTACTCTGTCAAACTGAACCTTTCAGGGATCTTGAATTATGTCTAAATTTTTAGGTCACATGACATCATCTGCGCACACTACCAGCTACCTTCAAAATCGCAACTCTGGTTAAACGCTTAGGGTCTTTTTCCACCAGTACGCTTCAGATACCGGAAGAAAGGCTCTTATAGTTGGCCAGACTTCCTTTTAGTTTATCTTGAGTGTGTAGTGTGTTATAGACTGATAGTTTAGCAGACATTTCTGATCTTTTCATGCATGAGCTGGCCAATCCAGTTAGGATTGCCTCCATGAAAAAGTCAGTTTCAGAAGCTTTTGTAATACAAGATATTACTTTAGTAAAAAGTGCAATAAATACAGTGAGAACGGTGTGAGTGCGATCTCCCACCTGAGTGGGAAACCCCTTATACCACTCAAGAATAAGCATAAAATACAATACATACAATAGGTGGATCACACTTCTTAAAATATCTAAAAGAGAATAAAAACAGCAATATAGTGTAATATTGTCAGCAAATGGATATCCAATTAATGAATGAAGGTAGTCAGGTACTCACAAACCAAGAGCCAAACAAGGACATGTGGCTCTCATGGGAACAGCACTGGGACCATTTGTCCTTGTTTGGCTCTCGGTTTGTGAGTACCTGACTACCTTCATTCATTAATTGGATATCCATTTGCTGACAATATTACACTATATTGCTGTTTTTATTCTCTTTTAGATATTTTAAGAAGTGTGATCCACAAGATATTACTTGCCTATTCTCTGTTAGGGATCCAATTCTCAGAACGGACTAAGCTAACCTATGGACAGTGATTTTGCATACCTCCCAAAAGGTCTTTACTCTGGTCCCAGATCCTTTTTGTTCTTCTTGCCTATCCTAATGAATGTCTTGTCTACGAAAATTTTTGAGAATAGAACAATTTCAAAGCCATGAAAAAAACTAAAATAAATGCATTTAGAAAGTAGTCCGTGTAATTAGCTTTTTCTTTGCATAAATGGTTATCAAGGCTGAACCTTTCCACTCTACCACTAGCCCTTGGGAAGTGGAAACTCAGCCCTGACTAGTGGGGCAAAGACCCACTAGCCTTACCGATATGGAGTTTACTTGCATCCGGCAACACCTGCTCTGTCCGTTCACCTAACGTGGGTTTGAAGTGGCTAGTAATGTAGAGTTGAACTCAAACGTTTGAGCCCCTGATTCATATTTGGGAAGTTCTTAAATGTATGTTTACCTAAATACCCGGATGCAAAAGGAAATCCCTACTAAGAATTGTGTTTGGAGTACAAACTAATGTTTGTATAATGCTTTGTTCAGAAAAGTGAAAATAGGAAAAGGCTAAGCTGTGCGTATCAGGTGTGTCACTGCACAACCTCCCACAATGCACTGTCACACCCATTTATTTTTTTTGTCGACCGAAATCTAGAATACAGCTGTGCCAACAGTATAAAAGTCACCTTTCCAAAGGAGATCTCTTCTCTAAATACACTGGGGGTGTTTTTACAGGAAGGTGTTTATTTAAAGAATATAAACTTGAAAAGCCACATCTGTCTGCTGGAGGGAGGGGGCTGGGGGGAGAGAGGGTCGAATTTAACTCCATTTTTCCAAGTTAAAGCATGCGGCCTGAACTACACTGAATAGTGTACAGTCAGAATCCGGGGGAAAGTGCGTGGATTTGGAGTGAATTCATTGTGGCTTTGTAGAAGACACAAACCCTAAAGTCAGGTTGGGCATCGTATGTGCTTTTAAATGTAAACTCTTGGGTCAAAATTGCTAAATTTTAATTTTAACCAGTTTCCCAGACAAATTACAAAATACAGCACAGTAAGTAAGTATCTGTAGCCATGCCTTTGTACCGCAGATTGATTTTAAAACATTTCCTCTGACGACCTTTTGTTAAGTAACTGAATTTTGCAGTTTCCATGTAATACAAACAGGAAATTGCACGGGGGTTCCTGCGGGTGCACCGTTTCCGTGACTTTAAATTTACAGATGGTGCATAAGGTCAGGAGTTTAATAGTGAGAGAGTACTCTGGTTGTAACAGCAAAACCGCTCCAACCCACATTATACCAACAACATAAAAGTCTCATACTATGAAATTACATCTCCCATTATACCCTGATAAGTGCAGGAGTAGAAATCCGCTTTATAACCCTGACTTGACCAATCTCAACTCTCATTATATCCTGGTTAACGAGTCAAACGTTTTCTTCGGTTATTGACTTGTCAACACACATTTTAAGTAATCAGTCTTGGTCATACATGATAAATTACAGTAAGACTGATATTTGACTTAAATCTTTCTGTTTTTAATAGCAGACATTTTCACATTGTCACTGGGATTATGTTTTGTTTTTAAACAGATAATGTTATATGTTTATACTACAGATACTTTGTGTATTTTTACATTTATTTATTCTAAAGTGGGTGAATGATGGTCAAAATCACTCGAGATAGGCTAGTATTGTGATACGTGTTGGGAATTAGGAGAACCTGGGTATCTGTCATTCCCTTCATGAGATATACACCAACTTCATTTACATCTTTGTCTTGTCCTTACAGAGCCGCTAACAACCACTGAAAAAAAAATGGCAAACAAAGGACCTTCCTACGGACTGAGCAGGGAAGTACAACAGAAGATCGATCTGAAGTATGACCCAGAACTGGAAATTATCCTTGTGCAATGGATCATTGCTCAGTGTGGTCCAGAATGCAAAGAGCCCGAGGGTCCAGGGAAGGTAGCCTTCCAAAAATGGCTGAAAGATGGCATAGTAAGCACCTCCAATTCCCCTATTATGGGCAGGGAAAAACTGGGTAGCTGACAGCCCTGTCCCCTAATCGTCAGCAGACAAAACATGGATAGAACCTTTGTAACAAGGTGGAAAATTGTTCTTATCCATGAGAAGGCACATGTTGAGTCTGATGATTATCCATACGGCCGCTTTGCACTCAATATTCTGATGCCTGGTTTAATATGAAATAAAGCCTTCCTCTGTGTATTTAGTTGTTAAAGGGACAGTCATGCCTTTCAGCAAATGGATTATATATGAAATGGCACATTGACTATTTCAAATCAAAAGATAATGTAGCAAGAAGAAAATGACAGAATAAGCTGTATTTTGATTGGCTGTGAAAATAGCGAACGGACAATAAGAGTGACCGCTATACTTTGAGAAATTCATACAAACTACTCATGCTTCTAAATTCATATTTATTGACTTAATATATAATCTATATCTTTAATTTAGTTTTCATTCAAAAAAAATTGTTTCACAAAACTTATGCAGGTACCAGTTCTAAATAAGTTTAAACTTGTATTTAAAGAAGCAAGCTGTGTCTGTTCGTCCATATTGCTATCTGTGTAGGGAAGAAACTGTAGCGTCAGAGCACACAGTATGAGAATTTTTTTATTTTCTTTTAAACTGAAAAATGGGACTGGTCTGTACAGAGGATGCAGGAGAAGATATGCTTTGGTGGAGTAAGAAGAGTTGTTGTGAGCATAGGACAGATTTCTGGACCAGCGCATTTTTTGTCTTGTTACCCAATGAGTGTTTTTGCCAAATTTGGATTTAGTTGAATGTTACTGCATGACTGTGATATGTAGATTATGCATGCAAATACAGTTTGAGTTCCAAAGCCATTTTTCCCTAAAATGGCAAATGCATCTACACTGACCCATTTTATAGCGCGATACCATCCCACCAATTATCAGAGAAAACGTGTAATGCATCGGTTTTAAAATAAGTGTAAATATATTGGCAAAGGCTACCCTTTAAGGACTGGAACTTTTCCAATCAAAAACAGATTAACCCCTTAAGGACCAAACTTCTTGAATAAAAGGGAATCATGACATGTCACACATGTCATGTGTCCTTAAGGGGTTAAAATAAAATTCAACAGGAAGACTTTTATAAACGGGGTCAAAAAACACTTTGCGGAAATGCTGGTTTGCTTCGGCTATTTGTAGCCTCTAAACTATCTCTCTCTGTTTCTCTAGGTGCTCTCATTACTGATGAACTCCCTTGTCCCCAAAGCCATAGCCAAGGTGCAAAAATCAGAAATGGCCTTCAAGCAGATGGAGCAGATCTCTCAATTCCTAAGGGCATGTGAGAGGTATGGAATCCCGGCTAGTGACTTGTTCCAAACTGTCGACTTATGGGAAGGTAAGTAATTAATGGTTAAGTTAGGGGAGGTAGAAAATGTGCCAGTAACCACCAGCGGGACAAGTTTTCTAAATTTTACTTGTGTTTTACAGGAAAGGACTTGTCTAGTGTCCAGAGGACATTGATGAATTTGGGGGGTATTGCAGTCACAAAAAGTGATGGATCTTTCCGAGGAGACCCTCTCTGGTTCCCCAAGTAAGTGTTCTTGTTAGAGTTTGCCATGACATCCAATGCAAATTTCTAGCTCGACATAGTATTACTTGGACAATTTTAGAAAAGGCTAAATGACAACTTGTAGAAAAAGTTTTAAAACGCTTGCTGCTTTAAATGGAGTTTATTTTAATGTTCCTACAAGGAATGTGGAGTTTATATCACCTGAAGTATCTCAAGTCCCATGGCTTCAGCATTTTTGAAAACTCAACAAACATTCTTAGAAGTTGGCAAAGATACAAAGCTTGGGATTCCAACAATTTACAGATTTATAAACATGATTTTAAAAGGGGGAATGGGGACCCAGCTAGGAAAAGGCAGGAAATGTAGTTGCTCAACCTGAGAGAATTCTCGTAAGTCAGTGCCAGCCTATCGGGGTTCTTTACTGCAGTGAGAATTAAACATGAATTTCAAATGCAAGGGCGATATAGCTGAAATTGAAGTATTCTCTAAATCAACTTTTGGTTTGGCTACTACGGCTTTGAATCTGAAATTCACTTTGCATTCTCAGTTTAATAAATAACACTGTATATGTTTTTCCATCCATTTCATCCACCTCTCCCTTTGTCACTTGGTCCTGGTTACAGACTGGTACATTTTGACAAATCCTATACCTTTCCTCCACCAAGCCACATTTACTTTCAATGACACGTCACACTACCAAAGGGGGTTTACTTAATTCATATGTGGTGTTGTGATATCAGATCTTATGTTATCCCATACTGAGGTCACTTGGGTAATGCAGAACCAGTGACCATAATGGGTGCAGAGCCACAGCTACACAGACTTCTTACTTTCTCTGTTACCTCCTTAGGAAATCGCAGGAGAACAGGCGAGAATTCTCCCAGGACAAATTAAAAGAGGGACAGAATGTCATCGGACTTCAGATGGGTACCAACAAAGGAGCGTCCCAGTCTGGAATGACTGGCTATGGCATGCCAAGACAAATTCTTTGATTGCACAAACAACCTGAAGCACCAGGCCAGATCTCAGATGATCAAATCATCTCCTAACTCCCTATCTCTACTCTGATTACTCTTCTTATCCCATACCTTCCAGCAGCACCTTAACGGAATGCTTTGTAAAAACGAACCAACCAACCAAAAAAAAACAACCAAACAAACAGATGCGCAGCCACTAGATTCTGAATCGCTTACATAATTGAAATCTCAACATTTGTAGGAGTCTGTGGCTGAATTTGCTTAAAAGTAGCCATCGGCCATTCTAACATTTGAGAAAAATACACTGGCAACATCCCCACCACTGTGTGTAGAATATAGCGGAGAGTAAATATAAACTTGGTGATATAGTATCACTCGAATTATTCAATGTTAAAGTGTCCTAAAAAAAAACCTCCCAAATGTTGAGATACTCCTACAATTCTCTTTGTGTATTCTGGTATGACCTTATCCTATATCTCCGCAACCAAAAAAGCAGACTTTTTTTTTTTATTGTATTATTTTTTGCGGGTGATGTTCTTTGCAGAACACAAAGTAGATGCCTTAACATTCCATGCCTACGTGTCTGCTATTCCCCCCCCCCCACCCCCTTTCTATAGTTTTGTTTTGTTTTTTTAAATATACCTTTCTTTGTTTGTTTTTTTAAACATTTTTGACCAAATTCAGACTAGGCTTGTGTACCAAAGTTGAACGGACTTGATAGTTTGGTGTTTTTTTTAGTTTCTTCAAGTCGCAATAGTGATAAGAGCCGATTTGTGCAAGAAAGGAAGCTGAATGTTCGAGATTTCTTCCACGGCAACCCAAGTGGCTGTTGGGGATCCTGCCTATTTCGTCACTCTGCTCTCCGCTCTTGAGATAAAATGCTGATACATTTTACTTCTGATCCAAATAAAGACCAATCTATGTTTATAAATATGACTCTGCGTGTTCTTCTCCAGGTGCAGCTAACCATTTACTATCATGGAAGAAATTTAGCAAAGGCTAGATGTTCGATATATTCCCCATAGATAAGGAAGATACACACATTTTGAACATCAAGTTGCTTAAATGTATTTCTCCTGTGTCCTGATTCTCTGCAATGATAATAGTTAGTAGATCACACATACTCCCTATCCTTCAGTAACTAAAGAGGTCCAGAAAACTTTAAATTGCATTTGGCACTTTATTTTATTTGGTCCACCCACGACGGCGATGATCTGACCAGATCCAAGTCTTGAGGGGAACCTTGCGTAATGCTAAAACATAGCTGTTATAAGGTTGCCTGCAAAATGTTGTTTTAAATGTCAATGTTGCTATAGTGTCACAGTAATGTTTCTGTAGTCCTAGGAATGCAGTGAATTTACACAGGCATTGACCACTTTATTTAAGCTAGACTACCAAAGCAGAGAGGGCTGTAGCTTTGAGAATACAAATTTGTATTCCTAACATTAAAGTATCATTGTCTCTATCCATTTCCAGGCCCTCGTAGTGCAAAATCATAACATTAGATTTACTTACCTTTTCTCCAGTGTCGAGTCCCCCTTTGCCCTGTCACGTGCTCCTCCTTGTGTGATGTCACATACCTCCAGAATAATAGTCCAATCCAATGCTCTCAGAGGAGCACTGGGACAGTAGGTGCATGTGTGGCACTTGCCGTGATCTGTCAGTGAATTATTGCATGCAATGATTTTCGCTGGCACTGCACATGTGCACGTGACATCACGGCATGAAAGCCAGGAACTAACAGTCCTGGTTCTCCCATCCAAAGGGCTTGGACTTCCAATCAGTTTAACTCTTAAAATAAAGATATGAGGCCATTAAGAGGGGAAGGGACTGTTGTAGACACTATAACATAAGGGTGGATGTAGGGTTTACAGCAGATATTTCCATACCATAGACTGAGAGCAAAAGTCAATTTTGTAAGCAGATATTTTCTAAACCAAAGCCGATCAACACTAAGCTTCCTCCAACAACCCAAGACCACACTAACCACATCTAAACATGCATCACATACTATATTCCAATCTCTCACATTATTACAAGATTGGGTACAGCAGCACACTTGGTACTGGACATCATAAATAGCACTAAATTGCTACCATGTGACGACTTGATAGCATTGCTATAAAGTGACATTTTAAAAGAATATATTCTGTGTGGACGCAGCGCACGAACTGAAATGGAATGCTGTGGAACATTCCAAACATTATAAGCAGTCCACTTCAGTGGTTATGGATCCAGGATAACTCTGGCACTTTCCCAGAGTAATTTGTCAAACCGTTTTGACTTTGTTCCGCTGGGTGCACAGGCTCTTCCAGGAGAATCCGGTAAGCTTCACTGAGCTAAGTAGTCAATAAGCACTGACCTGTACAAACCTGTTTCAGCTCAATTCAGTTCTAAAATGGCTTGACAATTTACTCTGGGAGGATACCAGGGTACACCTGGCACCATAACCACTGTAGCAGGCTATAGTGGTTATAGTGATTGGTGTGTTAAGGAGTTCGAAACTACTTTTCTTTGGACTATTATCTTGGAATCTGGAGAAAATAACTAAACTTCCTAAACTGTTCAGGAACAAACACCTAATAGAAGCTATCAGACCGGCCAGTGAGTGCATTCCACAGAGCTGTGCGTGTGTGCAGGTCTGAATGGCTCGGTATCAACTTGCATTTCAGCAATGACATAACCGCGCCTCTGAATATTGCGAGGCATGGAGAGGTTATGCACTAAGGGAACAAAAAAATAAACTTGCCAATCATGCTCTAAGTAGGGACATGTTCAGGACAATCCTTGAATAGAACGAAACCAGGTGGAATTTTAATATGTATTGGCTTAAAGGAACAGGCCGCTCACTTTGACATTTAAAAAAAAAAAAAAAAAAATTTTAATAAACATAGTTAGTACTAAAAAAAAAAGGGTGAAAAATAGATTTTTCGTTTCTGAAACTGTTCTGTGCGAGATGTCAATCAACTCTCTTCAAACTAGGAAGTCGTCCACGATTGCTGTACAATGGCTGCTGGGAGTTTTAGTTCAGCTTTCAGGTGTCTCCTTTCAAGGGTAAAAAAATCCTAGCCAGAAATCTCACAAACCCTAATCGGGTACAATAGAACTTTTGGAACAGGATAGGGTGGAGTTAAAGAGCAGAATGGATTGGGTGCGTTTTTTTTTGTTTTGTTTTTTTAAAAGCCTACAGCATAACTAAGTCTATGTATTGCATCAAGTGTGCGGAGTGCCCCATCACCCATTGTACGGCGCTATGGAATCTGATGGTACTATCTAAATAATATCTATAAGAGGGCAAGACAACTCGCAAAAATATCTACCGTGTCTTGAATAAATATACAATTTTTGTCACAAGCATATGTGTGCCAAGTTCAGAGAGAGGCTAAAATAGAAGTAAAAGTAAGAAAAAATGGCAGAATAAGTCATGTTTATTTAAGTCTGGAAATAGATGTGTGAATGTCAGTACGGTAACTTTATAAAATATTTTCCAGGTTAATAGGTAAGCTTTGGAATTTTATTCTAATCCTAAACAGCTGTGTTTGCCTGGGCTGGGGGCTATTCTCTCAATCTGTGGGGTAAGGCACAACAAAAAGTAGCTCAGTGCTTTGATGGCTGGCTGCTGTGTAAATTGGATTTCTCTTTCTTTTTCAACAATGTTCTCTTATTTCAGCAAGTAATCCGGTGAGTTATTCAGTATACAGAGATGGTGGAGGAACATCTAAGTCCAAAATGGCCAAGATGGAAAACCAGATGAATTGGAGAATTTAGAGATTGAAGGAAAATGTACCTATTTTTCCTTACAGGAAGTCTACTCTGCATTGGACAAGAAAATAGTGTTTAATACATTTTAAATCTATTAAAACTAATTACATGTTGTGCCAATATAAATCTAAATTTTTTAATATGCATTCAAGTAATACCAAGCACCATAACCACTGCACATGCTGTTGTGTTATGGTGTCAGGAGTATTCAGTGTCCCCCCATTTAAAGTACTCAAAGCATTTGTTGGAAGTAATGGAGGTGTAGAACAGTGTCCGGCGCACACAGAGAGCCACATGTTCGCTGTCTGAGCTAAGCTCTCCATCAGTAAGGTATCCCTGCACTATTCCACAAGAGCTAATGGACGCTCTGAAACAGGAACCTCCGGCTCTCTATTGGAGACAATAGAGCAGCACCTCACAGACCCTGAAAATGTGGTGGAGATTAGAGATGTTCCTGGGAATAATGCAGTAGGGAGGGACACTGCTGCGGAGAGAGATGAAGGAGGGAGAAAAACGACTGCGGAGGTAGGGATGCAGCTGCGGAGAGTGATGCGTGTGGGAGGGAGGAACGCGGCTGCGGAGAGTGATGCATGTGGGAGGGAGGGACGCGGCTGCGGAGAGTGATGCATGTGGGAGGGAGGGACGCGGCTGCGGAGAGAGATGCATGTGGGAGGGAGGGACGCGGCTGCGGAGAGAGATGCATGTGGGAGGGAGGGACGCGGCTGCGGAGAGTGATGCATGTGGGAGGGAGGGACGCAGCTGCGGAGGGAGATGCAGGAGAGAGAAAGAAAGAATGCGGAGAGTGATGCGTGTGAGACGGAGGGACACTGCTGCGGAGAGAGATGCAGGAGAGAGGAAAAAAAGACTGTGGAGAGAGATGCGGGAGGGAGGGACGCGGCTGCGGAGAGAGATGGGGGAGGGAGGGACGCGGCTGCGGAGAGAGATGGGGGAGGGAGGGACGCGGCTGCGGAGAGAGAGGCGGCGGAGGAGGAGGGAGGGGGAGGATGCGGGAGAGATGCGAGGGAGGGCAGCGGCGGGAGAGAGATGCGGGAGGGACGCGGCTGCGGAGAGAGATGCGGGAGGGACGCAGCTGCGGAGAATGATGCATGTAGGAGGTAGGGACGCGGCTGCGGAGAGAGATGCAGGAGGGAGGGACGTGGCTGCAGAGAGAGATGCAGGAGGGAGGGACGCGGCTATGGAGAGATGAGGTAGAGGGGGTTTCGATGCGGTTACGTAGAGGTGCAGGAGGGAGGGACGTGTCTTCGGAGTGAGATGCAGTAAAAAAAAAAAAAGGATGCAACTACGTAGATATGCAGTTGAGAAGGATGCAGCTATGGAGAGATGCAAGAATGTTGACATGAATTCGGAAAAGATGGTAATAAGGAGCTTCATTTTATATATCCACTGTGGGATATGGAGGGGTAGGTAATTAACTGAGAAGGGAATGGAAGTGAGATATCTGGGGAAAGGGGAAGTAAAGTACAGTAATGGTGTAATAGAAGTGCATTGTGTGGATCTGGTTTCAAGTGGTCAAGTTTTGGACTGAACTATTTTACCTGGTTTATGCCTCTGCAGCCCCTGTTCTATACAGAGTGCATCTTTACAATGCAGTGTCGTTTACCAAAAAGTAATGTTTCCTTATCAATAAAATATTACCTGTATGCCTCACATTTCAAACACGGGCGCAATAGTTTTATGGGGTGAAACTGAAGGTGTAACCAGAGGGTGCAGTTATTGTAGGGCAGATTATGGCCTACACATAAACATGTTTCATGCCTTCCAATATTTCCAATGGACAAAGAAGGACAGTTTATTTTAGATGTAGGAGTGTGGCCAGGGGCTGGTTTGTTCTGAGAAACATTAGGTGACTTACAAATAGGCTGTGTAAATAAGATACATTGTTCTTGTCATTAATTACATTTTAGTTACATAGACTCCTTTCTAAACACATTTATTGTATTTTAAAGACACCTTACTGGGAGTATTATTGCTGTGGAGCTCTGTTATACACTCAGACACATTACTGGGAGTATTATTGCTGTGGAGCTCTGTTATACACTCAGACACATTACTGGGAGTATTATTGCTGTGGAGCTCTGTTATATGCTCAGACACATTACTGGGAGTATTATTGCTGTGGAGCTCTGTTATACACTCAGACACATTACTGGGAGTATTATTGCTGTGGAG